TCAGAACCTCCTACTTCTTTTCACATTTGCACCTTTGATCCTATAAGGGTACTTTTGTAAACATATGTATACACGAAGGGAAGAGAAAAACATGGTCACATCAGATGCCTCTCAGTACCCACATCTTCATTATAAACAAGTCAATCAAATGAGAAGTGACTGGTAGCAAAACATCCAAATCTGATTCCACAAGCCAGTAACAGCACATAACCTCATTTCCTGACTTTGATTTTTACCCATCATTAAGGTTATTCTTGATATCATTTCATACACATTAATTTATACAGAGCTGTTACAAGGAGAAACAGCTATAAACGTCCCTTAACGCTACTCATGACAAAATTTAAAAGAACCAAACTCAGTCCTCTTCTCTCCATCACTAACATGGCCCTCTTTCTCACTTTATCCCCTACATATTCCACTCTTGACTTGGTTTCTTTCATAGAAAATAAATTATAGGCAGACTAATGGACTCAACACAGCTTGTCCAATTTAGCAACAAACATCAGAAATAAAACCTATCTCATTTTTTGGCAAATCCTGAACAGAAGACTGTTTCATTCTGTCCCCCAAGGGGCGAGGTGATGATCTAATCATGTTGCCATGTAATAGGTCACAGCAAGTAATTAAGACACTTGTTACAGTGGTCTGCGTCGTCGTGCTATCCTGTAGGGAGTTAGAATGGATTTTCCATAAATTCTAGAAAAGGTCCTTTAAAATAGTAATTTAAAATCTACATCTTAGCTAATTAAGAGTAGAGCAGTATGGCTCAAACTAATGCATCATTTCACACCTAGTGTGTTGATAATGGACCAGCCTGAGTGCAGGAAAAGAGAAAACCTTAATCTTTTTTTCTTCCATTCTCATTCCTCCAACATCTAAGGTGTTGCTAAAAAAGAAACACAGACAGTTTTATGATCAACATGGCAAAGGAAAAACACAGAAGCTTGCATAGAACTGATACCAATTAACCGCCATCTTTCCATCAAATGTTTGACAAAACAGAAAAATATTCTTAGGCCAAAGAAGAATCCTCCCTCAAAGTGTGAAGCTGATAGACATCAGAATTTGGACAAAGATGCTGAGCAATCCCTGTCAGGAAAGTTTTGTTTCTTTCGTTTGCTTTTTAATGGATATTAAGCCCCCCATACAACAAATTACAGTATTTATGTGCTCAGATACCAAAAACAACATATTCACAGTAGCTTCTATATCCAAGATGGAATCTCAGTAATTTATACATCTTGGTAAGTAGTGCGATTTATACTATTTTATAACTACAAATAAGAAGGTTATACAATTTAGCAGGAACTTTGACATAATCGTGGACTTGTATATCTAAACCCCTAAACACATAGTATCAGAAACCAATGTCACTGCAATAAAAATAATAAACACATTAAAGATAGAAATAAATTTTAAATATAAATAAAAAATAATTAAAAGTGACTTTAGCATATTTTAAAATGTGCTTAAAAAAGAAAAATTCCAGGCCAACCGTAACTATATAAAATCATTCTGAGCAGCCTGAAAATTTCTAATTTAAAAATTGGGGATTTTGACCTTTTTTTTTTTTTTCAAAATCACAAGATACTTTTTTACTATAAAATGATCATTCTCAAGTAAATACCGCATCATAATCAACAGATTCTTTTTGGCAAGTGTATATAAACAGTTGAAAAAGGAAAGATTTACTGCATCCCAGTAACTGCAAAAATGAACAAAATTAATTCAATTCAAAACAACTATTATTGAGAATTTAACAATAGCTGGGTAAAAACTACAGTCTTTTAAATTTTATTTAAGCCTTAAAATTCTCAAGTTTAATATTCATTTCAGCAACTTAATTATAATTTTGCATAACCCCAACAATAAAACAGAACTCCTGATTAATGCATTACTGAACTATTTTTTTGATCTTTGCTGGCTATAGGAGGAAAAGTAAAAGGTCTTTTAAGTTAATTAATTTGGGGATTTTTATTTCATTTGCTTTTTGTTTTGCATCAATAGTTAGAGAAGATATTGTAATGGCATGGGAATTATCAAACAAATGTTACTTTTAATGTGAAACTACAATAAATAAAAACAATATATGAGTATATAAGACCTGAGAAAAAAGTACAAAATACTTCACAACATAGAAATTAACACACAATTTGTCAGTGTTTTCATTTTAAGTTCCCTTTAATCTATCTCAGATTGTATAGTTAAAAAAAATTATTGAGGAAAATAAAAAAAAATTATTGAGGAGTAAAAAATAGACAAATGATTAATGGTATGCTCTGAGACAATAGAAATTAAGCATATACTTAAAGTAGTAAGCATTTTAGGAATTTGAATTTCCATAACTTACAGTATTCTCCTGCAACTGACTTCATAATTAAAACTATTTTAATCAGTGAAAGTTTTCAATTTCCTGACTACTGCCACACCAGAGTTAGCAGCAGAATTGCTGTTTTACACATTACTGCTGTAAAAATAGACGGTTTATTTGGGCACGTGACTAGGTTTGAATAGCTTCAGTTCTTCTTGCTGTCAGTGCCTCAATCAGCTTGTTATCCCTGCCCTCAGCATTTTATAACTTGGTGAGACGTAGTAAAAGATGGCTTTTGAGGAATACTTTGCAATTAACCATGAAAATGTCTTTCAAATAAATTGCTTAATTTAAATAACATACTAGCCAACAGTCAAACTGCATGCTTCCATTAGAAATTGATATATTGAGCCAACTTACTGATAATATTGAAACACAGATTCATTAGCACAACATTGCATCACAATACCAAACACATTTTATCCATTACTGCAAGTCACTTTTTATTTGGTCAACTGCTTTCTCTCTACCCTCCGTTATGTGTGTATACATTAACTCTTACTTATCTAATATATTTTTAATGTGCAACTTTTATGATATAACCCTGTCAACATATCTTAATTTGCCTTTCAATTATATTATAAATGGAATAAAACCAATTAAAGTTTACCTTTTTCTAATTTACAATTAATTCTTTCAGCAAGTGACCAATTAATTGCTACCTCTTAAACTTCACTTAGCATCTCTATGGAAGTATTAGTTTTAAAAAAAAACTTATTTAGGTTAAAAACCTAGTAAAGTACATGATTGACCTTCATCTTATAACATGTTACTACCTTTTCTTTATTTTTTTTATTTCAAACCTGTTACACAGGTCGCTAAAGTGCAATGTCATAAAATCCATCAATCTGCATTCTTGACAGCATATGAAACTTTGAGAAATAGCTCCTTCTCTTGCAACTACATGCCTTTCATACCTATTATTTTATTACCTGATATGAAGTATCGTTTGCACTACAGAAAAACCAAGAAACGTGTTTTGGAAAGTACAATGACAAGGATAGAGTTCATTTGCCAGATTTTATTTTTCATGCCACTGGACAAGAAAATTTCTCATTAAGGGTCAAAATCAATAGTGTGAGTGAGAAAGTTGCAGAGATCACATTAATAAGATTAATTAGTGTCTTATAGTGGCTATACCAGCAAATACTTCAGATAGCTATTGTTCACTGAATTAGCAAAATTCAAGGAAAAACCATTTTGCTTTTGCTATTTTACAATACTGAAATGAAAATTTTACATAATACCATAGTAATGACTAGTATTAGTAAAATTTTGTTTTATTTACCAAGTACAGGAGAAACGAGGACTTTAAATAGGAAAAAAGTTAAAGAGTCAAAGTGCTCATCTTCCTTTTTTCCTCTGAAATCACAACACAGAAAGAATACTTCAAAGATAAATCCTGATTAGAAAGGATGACAGAGAACAACTGAACCAAATAATGCCAACATGATCCTCAAAACTCCAATCCACCAAAAATCCATCAGTAAAGAGTTAACTTTTAGAGACTGGTTATAAATTTTAGAGACTTGCCAAATGATAAAGCAGGTTACTTCCACACATTTCACAACTAATCAGTCACTGCATAAAAAGAAAATGAAACTTTGCTAAGTATAAGGACACACAGTAAATCCCCATTAATATATATTGCTGTTGTCCACAGACGGTACATAAACACTCAGTGTGTGGAAGGAGCGCAGTGTACACAGGTGATGACCCTTGAAATTAGGACTATTAACATTCCAAGGTGATACCCAGCATTACACAAAAAACTGCTACATCAATATTACGAAGGCTGCCTTCGATTGTAAAAGTTTAATTGCAGAAGCAGTGTTAGTCATCAAAAAACAAGGATTCAACAATATTGCATTTCATCAACATTTTGTGAAAATTATCGGATATTTTTGCATTATGGCTCACGGAGAGAGAGAGAGTGACTGCGATTCATGTCCAGGCACAGCGATGTTCATATTTATGGATTGCATACTAACACACCCCACTACAATGGTGTTTCAGAGACGAAGGAAAGCTTTCGGCAACAACTGTTATCACCAGACTGTGAAACTGAACCGGCAGCCTAATAACTGCCAGCAGACCACACCACACCACCTAGCAACAGCGGAGCAGAAACAGAGACTAAGTTTCCCCGGGTAAAGGCTGTTGCTAAGCAGAATTTATAACCAAAAATATAGGAAAGTGTAGTTTGTCATTTTTGAGAATCCACAATTTCAATGGCTTCACTGGCCCAATCACTTTAATACACTCAAACCCCATGAGCAGCCAGCCACACCAAACCCTTGTGACTAAACTTGTAGCAAACCCCCTCTCACATCCCACAAACAAGCGCCACACCTTGTATCCATTTCCCACATTGCAACGTAATGACCACTTGTGCAAGAGCGTCTTCTCTTCTTCTTGACCTCTCGTATCCTCCCTTCTACTTTATTTTTACTTTTCAACAGATCATCGCTCGGGTCTTAAAACTTCTTGCTGACCCCCGCCCCCCAAACTCGAAGGTCTTGTAATATCAGCCCCGTAGAGATGGAGAACCCCCATTGCTACCCCACACCTGCACCGGGTGTGCCCCGGGGCTGAGCTCTTCACCAGTCCTCGGTGTGGTACTTACCTGCTGCTCCCCGGGCTCTGTAGATTTCACCAGGTGCTTATCCTTGTACAGAGACCACAGACCGATATTGGGCAGGAAAATGAGGGCCACCATGACAAGCAAAGTCATCTGCAGAAATCGCTTCTGTTTCCTCTTCATTGCAAATGACAACAGAGAAGAAAAGTTAAAGACGTTCCCCTGACCGCTTCTGGTGTTAATGCCAAAGTCCTTTCCTCTCCCCTGCGAAGCACCAGAAACTGAGGAGAAGCTAAAAACTTTTGTTGCCTGCTCAGCACCAATCTGCACGATTCAGAGGGAGTTGGGCATCTGCAGAACAAACGCACAGTTACTTTCCCCCCAGAAAACTATGACGAAGGCATTATCTATTGGCTTAGAAGTAAATGACTGGACTGAGGAAATCATTAAGCTTATCGACCTCCATTCCTATAAAGCTATGGAGTAAATATGATCGTTTCACAGACTAATCTTAAGTTATGAGAAAGTCAATCGCTTGCTAGATACTTAAGTGAAGGGGCGCTTGGGAGTCTCCCCCCTTAGTGAGGAGGGCCGGGCTGGGGAGGCGCAGCTAAGTCCCGAGAACTGCGCGGGAGGAAGCGGCTCAGCCCCGGCAGGAGTCAGGAAGAAAAGTGTCCGCTTTTGACAGCGCCGCGTAGCCTTCCTCGTCTTCCCCGAACATCACCTCCGGTGCGCCCCTCGGGATAACCCACCTGAACTCCAGTTCAACTCCCTCGGGCGCCAGCGCGCCGGCGAGCTCGGCGGGCTCCGGGCAGCACCCCCGCGTGGGCTGCGGCCCCCCGCTCCGGGGCGCCCGCGCGCGGTCGGCGCGCTCCTGGGCCGGCGGCGCCTGGCGACCTGGCGGCGGCGAGGGACGGAGGCTACAGATGTCACCGAGTCCAGCCGGGAAGTGCGGGCGCCGCGCCGCGGCTCCGGCGCGGAGCCCGGGGTGTGATCCTCCGCCGAGCCCGCGCTCTGCCCATCAATCTCCCGCGGGCCTCCCGACGCGCTCACGCTCCGCGGCTCATGTTACCATCCTTTTCCGGCGACCAAACGCACCGGGGACGCAGCGCCGAGCCTCGAGAGCGGGGCTCGCAGCCGCCCTCCCCGCGGGGACGGAGGCGGCGAGGCGGGCGCGGGG